GTCAAATAACCTAAATTTGCAAATTTCATCTATTAAATGTGAGAAAGAGAAGTCATTAAATTGAAAAAAACCTTACCAAATATATAAAGTACCTGTGACTAACTTTTAGTTTTTCTTAGCACTTTTTTCCTTTTTTCTTCATAAATGTGAAATAAAAAGCAATAAAAATTGGCACTTTGCTTATTTTCACAGAAAATTAAAAGGCATTAAAATAAGCTGCAACGCTTATTATTTTAATCCAATTTTGCTTATTTTAATCCATTTTGGTATTAAAATAAGCAAAATTGGATTAAAATAATAAGCGTTGCAGCTTATTTTAATGCCTTTTAATTTTCTGTGTTCGCTATTTTCAAATGTAAATAACTTTCTTGGAGAAAACTGAAAAATTACAAAACTTGGGCAATATCTAATTGATCACTAAATACACACACTGGAAAAAAATTCGCTTTGGTACCGAAGATACTTTTTGAGATAATTAAGTTTAAACTTTTCACAATTTTTATCAGGTTAATACATGTAGTTTTTTAAGGACGAATTTAGGTTTTATTGGTTAAATATTTTGAACTAACTTCAATTTTATAAAAATCACATGCATTAACCTCATAAAAATTGTGAAAAATTTAAACATAATCACAGAAAATTAAAAGGCATTAAAATAAGCTGCAACGCTTCTTATTTTAATCCAATTTTGCTTATTTTAATACCAAAATGGATTAAAATAAGAAAAATTGGATTAAAATAAGAAGCGTTGCAGCTTATTTTAATGCCTTTTAATTTTCTGTGATTATCTCAAAAAGTATCTTCGGGACCAAAGCGAATTTTTTTCCAGTGTGTGTAGTTAGTGATCAATTAGATATTGCCCAAGTTTTGTAATTTTTCAGTTTTCTCCAAGAAAGTTATTTACATTTGAAAATAGTGAAAATAAGCAAAGTGCCAATTTTTATTGCTTTTTATTTCACATTTATGAAGGAAAAAGGAAAAAAGTGCTAAGAAAAACTAAAAGTTAGTCACAGGTACTTTATATTTGGTAAGGTTTTTTTCAATTTAATGACTTCTCTTTCTCACATTTAATAGATGAAATTTGCAAATTTAGGTTATTTGACAGGCGAACTTGAAAATCATATTTTATATATTATTTCACATATTTAAATAATTACATCAATTGATAATGATAAATTTATTCATTCTTAGTAAATTACAAAAAAAAATTTTTATTTTTATGATAAATTCTACGTATTTTTGCATATTTTCTAATGGCTAAAAAATTGACAGTTTTCAGCACCTCATAAACTTTAAATTCATATTTTGCAATAAATAATTAAAATTTTAATAAAATTCTTTTCATTTCGTGATCTTGATAACTTCAAAATCATTCCTGCAAAGTATTATAATTTTTTAAAATTAGTCAGCGACGACTTCATTCGAAATATAATGGATTGACCCATCACAGTAAAAACAAAGTCTTAAACCGTTTACACCTTAAATTAAGTCCACATATTTTGCATAAGTCTGTCCTTTTTTAATTGGTCTGACTCCGTTTACACCTTAAATTCAGCCTCAAAAATAGGCTGAAATCAAGATTTCTTTTTTAGTGTGATTAATAATTCAGTTATAATCAAATTGCTTAAATATATATATATAATAAATTTATAGAAAAAGCTAATATAATTATATGAAATTAGTTGACTGAATAAACTTGAAGAATCAAAATGACATAATAATGTTATTCTGTAATCAGAGTGATGTTTTTCATAAAAATATTATTTTCTGTTATATATTAAGAAAATATTTGGACAAACGAAACTTTTTTTTGCTTTATGATCAATTGAAATATTTTCTCGAGTTTATTTTCTTGCGATTATTATGGGGTATAGAGGCGCGCAAGTGAAAGAGATAGTGTGTGAGAGTGATGTTGACATGTAGGAAATTGAAACAAAGTGCAATGCCGGAAGCAACGTCGGTGGCGCGTCAGAAGGACGTCGTAACGCCCATCAAATATCGATGAGACCAAAATAAATGCCTCACTTTTCTCTATATGTGTATCTCACTTTTCTCACAGCTCTGCGCTATGCTTTTAAATACTTTCGACTCGATTTCTTCTTTTTTTTTCACCGACATTTACGTCTCGAGAAAAGCATTATCGTGTGCACGGAAACGCTGACGGTTTTAATGATGATCATTAATCGAAAATAGGAGCAGTATACGTCAGCAAGTGAACAGCATGTCGAGTGCTACTCAGATTATAAACGATTATTAAATTTTTCAATGAAATTCTACGAATTCTAAAAATAAATTCGACATTTGCTTTATATATTTTAAATTTCAATCACTAAAATGACATTTAAAGGAAATAAATGAAAATTAATTTAACTACGGGGTTTTTGATCGATGAAAAATTAAAATATGACTAAAAGAGACTTTAAGGAAAAGTCTTTTTTAACAAAGCTTTTGAATGTGTAAAATTAAAACTTAGTCTTTTCTTTTTTTTGAAGAACCAAATGAAAAATGTACTTTTCAAACAAGTGCCTTAATTGAATTCTTTGTGAATATTGTGTCTAAGCTGCGCATTTAGGTAATTAAAAAAATTTAATGTAACGATATCCCTTTGGGGGAAAAAGGAAGAATTAATTTTTTTTTTTTCTCTAAAAATAATGGTGGGACGAGTAACGTGTTCGGGAATTCAATCGATTGCTCTAAAATTTTCAGGAGCTCTTTTGTGTCACGTTCATTCATTGTCCTTGAGCCAAAAAGAATATATAAAAAATGAAATTAACATATATCCGGAATGTCTTATTTTTAAGGAAAGTGAAGTGAAGTTGAATAAAGTTCACAACGTTTATGATCAACGAGATTTAGAATAAAAAATTATTTTTCTATTTTTGTTTTTTTATCGATATACTATTTTCTGACACTGGAGGTAATTTTCAATATGAAATTTTTTAAATTATAATAAATATGACAAACAATTATTATAATTTAAATAAACAGTTTAAAATTTCTTCACTATATATAATATTCAAAGTAAAATGTTTTATCTACAAGATATAAATCTTTTTCAATGTTTACCGATAACCTGCAAAGAACAAGTTTTCCGATTTTTAAATCTAAAAACAGGAAGTCACAGTCGTAGACATAGGGATACTGCTTAATAAAATGATAAAATGGAAAAGTTTTGCACGATAATACTGCTTGGAAAGCTATGTGTTTCAAATTAAGGCTTCTCTGATTCGTATATTATTAAAACTTTCACTGTATATTATTCATTGTATATATATATATTTCTCGAAACTTATACCAATATACGTGTTCAAAAGTATTAGAGAAAATATTCGGTTTACTTTGAATATTTGAATATTCATATTTAATAAATAATATGTAAAGAAGATTTAAGCTGAAGTTTGTAACGTTCAAAAACGAAGAATCAGTGATTTAAAACTGAATATTTAAATCCATCAAAAATATCATTGTTTGCAACTGTGATTCATTTATATTAGCATTAATTAGAACTATACCTATACTACTTTCGAACAACTATTATTTGAATTTTATTTATTTATTAGAATAACGCAATAATTTAAAATTACAATATTCTTGTCAACTGAAATTAATGCATGAGGCTGAAGTCCGCAACGTTTTCAAAAACGAAAAATTAAAATAGAATTATTTTTTTATCTTAATTTATCTCTAATTTTGATTTGCACAAACTTTCAAGAAATTAATACTTTTATAAAAACCAGTTACTCCCGAATAACTTTAATTTTAACCCAAATTAATAGATATTGTCTAATTATTTTTTTGTTTTCGTTTATAAAAACGTTGCGGACTTCAGCATCATAACTAATGCCAGGATCATCACTATTTGGAACTACCATTAATTAAAAATAAATATATTTATAATAAAAGTTTTCAATTAATTTAGATTAGTATTAGATATGATAATAAATAATTAAAGTTGTAAAATAATTAAAATTGCAATTAATTGAAAAAAACTGATATTACCATAATCTAAACTTTCTATATCAATATTGTTGTTATGTGTTCTATATAACTTTCAATATGGCAAACACCAATCACTAGAACAACTATCGTTTCGAGTCTTGTCATTAATCTAATTGTAAGCTTAATATAGTTAAAAACAAACATTAATTTTGTTCGTAAATGATAATCATCACTCATCCAAGTTATCAATTTTTGGAACTATTATTAATTAAATCTATCACTTATAAAGTGTCTGAAGTTCTGAACGTTCAAATGAACGAAAAATTTATTTACTACTCTTCTATAATTTCAAATTTTTTTTGATTATTTTATTATTTATTATTATTATTATATTATTTTATTATAAAAAATTGCTTTCGATTTTCAAAAATACATTAATAATTTATTAAATGTTTACTGTATTTTATTATTTTCCATTGCTGTAGAAATTTTTAAAAAATTTATAGACCAAAGAAATGATTTCTTTTATTTGAACGGTCAGAACTTTGGCACATCACTTGTAAAAGAAATTATACTATGTTGCATGCCCCAACTTTTTTTCTAATTGTACCTACATTCCTAATAAACATTTTCTCTAATAGTTAGTTTAGTGTAAACAACAAATTATCGTTTATTATAAATATATAATTGAAATACATTATCTAGAAAAAAGTCAGTCACTAATTCAACAGTCCCTTTTTTAATTGAGAGGATTTCTTTTTGATACCATTATTCTAGAAAAGTTGAACAAAAATGAGAGAAATATTCTCAAATGAACTCTCTAAATCTGAATTAGTAAAAAAGTTTACTAATTTGAATTAGTGACTCCCTTTTTCTTCTGAATTAGTAAAATTTTACTAATTATTAGTAACTTTTACTAACAATTAGTAAAATTTAACTAATTCAGAAGCAAAAAGTGAGTCACTAATTCAAATTAGTAAACATTTTTACTAATTCAGATTTAGAGAGAGTAATAAAAATCAAACAATAACAAAAAGAGAAAATGAATATTAGTTTTTTACCTTCTTTAGGTCTTTGCTGGCATCGGCTTCTTCAATCTTCCTCTTCTCTGATACCTTCGGTGTAAGCACGGCAATACTGGCTTCCCGCAAGGGTTTTAAATCCACCTGAAACACGGAAATCGATCGGATTGTTAGTCGACTATTAGAAAGGAGTCGATGACTGTAATATCCTATATCTTTAAGACACGATAGGTACGATTATTGGCGAGACTCAAGACTTGTGAATTTGACCTCCTGCACCTAGGTGCGAGTGGCAACCAAAAGGGTCACAAGGGTCGTCCTGACAACGCCCTTATACCTGCAATGCAGTGCCTATAATATCGCGTCTTTCATAGGTTTCATCATTCCCTAATTTATTCTGTATATATATGTGAATTAAACTGCGATAGTTATATATGCAGGACTTACAGAAAAAAAATACAACGTCGACCCTGAATCTAAGAAATTCTTGCTCGCATGTTTCCAGTGACAATATAGACTTTGCATGACATCTTATTTCTGGCTTGTAACACGGAAGGAATAAATTATATCAACCATAATATAGAGGAAGTTTTACGATATAAAAAACTTTATAAAAAGAAATTTTTCCTTTTTGGAAATGCAACTATTTTTGTTTTATTTTTCGTTTAGAATTATAATAAAATTTATCTGTAACAAACATTGTAAATTTTTTTTTATATATATATATAGATTATGAATTCTACAATATGTATTGTAAAGTTTACTAGCTGTATAATAAATGTTTTACTAACTATATTGTACATTTTAAAATACACTGAGAAAAAAGGTTTGAGCTGACAACCAAATATTTCATTCAATATATGTGCAACTAAAATTTTTTGGTTGACACAACTAAACTTTAGTTGACAACAACCAAAGTTTGTTTCAGACGACTAAATAAGAAAATGAAAAAGAATTTGGTAGTCTCAACTAAACTTTGGTTGATGTCAACTAAAGTTTAGTTGTGTCAACCAAAAAATTTTAGTTGCACATATATTAAATGAAATATTTGGTTGTCAGCTTAAACCTTTTTTCTCAGTGTACGTATAGTACTTGTAACAATATGTATTCTAAATTTCACAATCTGTATTGTAATAAATACAATACGTATTGTACTTGTTACAATATGTATTCTAAATTTGACAATCAGTATTGTTTTTACTCGCATAGTAAATTTTATAATTTGTATTTTGAATTCTAAAAAATATATATTTTAGATTTTACATTGGTAAGAATTCCTGAAGTGGCCCCCAAATATTTTTTGTGTAATAGAAAAAAGTGATACTCATATATTTTAGTAGTCCATGATGTCACTAAAAAACCCCTGAAACGATTTTTCAAAATTCGAATTTTTTCATAAGTTATAAACAATTAAACTTTTTTGCAACGTTTTGGAAAAAATTCTGTATCTTGAAATTGGCCGAACCGATTTTAATAAAAATTGGTTTGGAGAAAGATTAAGATACGTACTTTTGATAAATAAATAAATTATGAATAAAAAGTATAATTTGTTTAAACAAATTATATTGTTAATTTTTAACTTTATAAATTAACAATGTTCTCAGTCGATTTTTCCAATTTTTTTTATAGCATCATAAAAAGGGGCTTTTCACGATTCCATGACAAAAATAAAAAAGTGGGATTCTCAAAAACTTTAGAAGATACAGAATTTTTAGTCTTAACGCGCGCGAGTTTTCTGAGCAGCTCACGAATACGGCGCGGCATCTCCCGCGCGCCCCGCGCCAACCAAGACTCCATGAGAGTTCCCGATTATAATATTTTATTAACTCAATTAAACTAAACAGTTGTTTATATGTATTTTATTATTCATATCATTTTTGTTTATATTTAATAATTTTTATTATTTATAAAATTTCTGTTTATAATAAGTTTCTGATTATTTAATTTTAATGATAAATTTTCAACGATTTTTAATTGCTTTGTTTATGTATCAATGAATAAGAAAATATATTATTGCGAATCCGTGTTTTAATTTTTCTAGACCGCATTGTTTAACGTTTGCTGTCAAAATTTTAACAAATTTCACGTTTATGCGCACTGAATGAAAATTTGCGCGTTTTCACGTGAAAACAAAAGAATCGCGACAATCGTCTGGTCATTCACCTAACATGATAATTTCGTTTTTAGATCATAGTATTTTCTTTACGTATACATAAATGTAAGTCCGTGTTTGTTGTTTCGATTAGTATTTTTCACGTTGTATATTAAAAATTTTACTTTTTCGCGTATGTGCTATAAAAACAAATCTTAAAATATGCCAAAAGCAAATACTTGCTGCAACCCGTTGAAAAAAAACGAACATAAAGCAGTTTATAAAAATCTTGTGAAAGTGCCTAATTCGTGGAATTATAGATTTAAAAATTTAATAGGACAGTTCATTTGTTTTTCGTGCAAAGCAGCCATCAACAAATTAAAGAAAACGAAAACGTTTTATAAGCCAAAAATTATTAATTATTAAATAAATGATATGCATAATAAAATACATATAAACAACTGTTCAGTTTAATTGAGTTAATAAAATATTATAATCGGGAACTCTTATATGGAGTCTTGGTTGGCGCGGAGCGCGCGGGAGATGCCGTGCCGTATGCGTGAGCTACTCAGAAAACTCGCGCGCGTTAAGACTAAAAATTCTGTATCTTCTAAAGTTTTTGAGAATCCCACTTTTTTATTTTTGTCATGGAATCGTGAAAAGCCCCTTTTTATGATGCTATAAAAAAAATTGGAAAAATCGACTGAGAACATTGTTAATTTATAAAGTTAAAAATTAACAATATAATTTGTTTAAACAAATTATACTTTTTATTCATAATTTATTTATTTATCAAAAGTACGTATCTTAATCTTTCTCCAAACCAATTTTTATTAAAATCGGTTCGGCCAATTTCAAGATACAGAATTTTTTCCAAAACGTTACAAAAAAGTTTAATTGTTTATAACTTATGAAAAAATTCGAATTTTGAAAAATCGTTTCAGGGGTTTTTTAGTGACATCATGGACTACTAAAATATATGAGTATCACTTTTTTCTATTACACAAAAAATATTAGGGGGCCACTTCAGGAATTCTTACCCATATTAAGTATTGAATATTTTACAAGTTGTATAGTAAATGTTTTACTAACTATATTGTAAATTTTAGAATTCTTAGAGTACTTATTATACTATTTATTATATTTATTAAATTACGTATAGTACTTATTACATTACATTTTGTACTTATTATACTATAGATATTGTATTTATTACAATATGTATTCTGAATTTTACAATTCGCATTTGTAAATTTTAAAAATAGTATTGAAAAGTAACAGTTTTGTAAATGTTACAATACATAGGGTATTTAAATTTAACAATCGATGTTATTTAATAATTAAAAAACTAATATTTGATAAAAATCAGGAACATAATTCTATGAATGATTGAATTATAAAAGTATTTTTGGAGAGGACATATTAAAATATATACGTTTTAGGAACAAAAAGAAAAAATCTTTTTATATAACTTTTTGATTTAAATTTAAGGTAGTCAACTGTGAACGCGATTCAACAAATCTTGAGAACTTTATTGCCTTAGTACGAGTATGAATATTTTACTGCAGAGGAGCTTATACATAGGGAAATATTTTAAGAAAGAATATCATGCGGTTAAGTGTTGTAAAAAATGGAAATTTTTCCTATATATGTCAGATTGTACGCGGTCAGGTATTCATATATATATATATATAAACCCAATAGGATAAACCTTATTGTCATGCCACTTTTTTCCGCTTCGTTATGTATATATTTGTCAAATTGTCGCACATTGAACTTCAAAATGCGATCGATTTAATAGTGAGCACACATTTTCAAAAAAAGTGTTTTGATACACTGCCAAGATTTTTTTTTGTCACTCGGCCCATACTATGCGCGCAAGTGTGTTACGTTTTAGGGATGCTTCCGCATATCACCATAATGTCAAGCGAGATTTTGTCGTGGAAAATGAATAGCACTGAATCGCCGACCCGTAAGTTCCGGATATCCTGGAGCGCGGTATATATAGGTATCGTTTTCGAGGTACCGCAGTATGGAGTGCATGTAATTTCAGTAAAATAAATATATATTCACACACGCTAAACTGCATATATTGCAATTTAATAATATATTACATCTATATAATGAACAAATAAATTTTATAGTGTAACAAAAAACTCTGCAAAATTAAAGTGTCTTTTTAAAAATTACAAAAATGTACTTACTAATGATATAATTTTTATTTTTTTTTTGAAAAAAAAGATTTAAAAATATATTAAAAAATAAATAAATTTTAATTGTATTGTTTAATTAAATAAAACATGTAGGGGAGTTGGGGATTGGTTATGTAACGAATTTTGGAATATTAAGTAAATTAAGAAAACTATCAAGTTTTATAATCATAATTACTATTATCAATAAGTCAGTAGTTTCTTCGATAAATTATAATGAAACAATCCACACAGCACCTAAAATTGCAGCAATATTCGCAACATTGCTACAAAACGGGAAATTTGAAAGTAGTACAATGACAATTTGTAGGAAGCGTGCAGGAAGCACAATGTCTGAAACATTGTGCTTCCTGCACGCTTCTGCCATCTGACGGCGACTGGACTAGACATAATGAACCTCCTACAAATTGTCATTATACTACTTTCCAATTTCCCCGTTTTGCAATTGAGTTTTTGCATCAATTCGCAAAGTCTTTTGGATTTTGGAAATGTATATGACAAGGATCCTTGCTATGTTTGACGATTTTTTAAAAAGTGTCCATGTTTTGGGAAAAAAATACTTTAAATTCAATGTTTATTGTTTTCATCTTCAGTGCTGTTTTTCAAACCAATGTTTACATAAAACGAGGGGTTATAAGGATAAAATTGAGTCAATTAATTAAAATTAAAAAGTTTAAAATTTCGGCAAAAATGGCACGTTACAATCTACCCCTGTTAAAACCTGCCCCTAGCTCCCGTATGTATTAAATCGTCGCCAATAAAGTTGTAATAATTTTGTATTCATTTTGAGATGTTTAAATTTTTGTGATCAATTTTGTCACAAAACTTTGATATCTTCTCAT